GGCGTTTGCAGTGTGTGCGCTTCAGGCTGCGTGCTGCGATTTCATGGCCTGTGCTTCCTGGATAGTCTTCTGGTTCCCCTGCCCTGGATAAGCTGCAATGGAGAAGGACGACCTGGACAGACATATGCAGAATGCTTATGCAATGTCTATGCAGACCTTGAGAATTACAGGTACAGTAGCACAATTACATGTAGTAACAATTTATCTCTCCAAATAAATTAGTCAAATGCAAGGGTGTGGATTTGGATGTGGAGAGTAGGGACCTGTTAGGTCCCCACCAACTTTTTGGAAGAACCAAATTGTCACTATCAATACTGTGGGAGTACTGAATTGTCTCTGCCAGTAAGATCCACAGAATTGTCCCTGCCAGTAAGATCCACAGAATTGTCCCTGCCAATAAGATCCTCAGAATTGTCCCTGCCAGTAAGATCCACAGAATTGTCCCTGCCAATAAGATCCTCAGAATTGTCCCTGCCAGTAAGATCCACAGAATTGTCCCTGCCAATAAGATCCACAGAATTGTCCCTGCCAATAAGATCCTCAGAACTGTCCCTGCCAGTAAGATCCACAGAACTGTCACCCAATAAGATCCTCAGAACTGTCCCTGCCAGTAAGATCCACAGCATAGGATTAAAGTCAAAACATTCCATTCTGCTGACATTTGTTGTGTGAAATCAGGGGTGTTTCCCAAAAGTCTTTCCTTCCTCGCCTGTCTCACCAAGTCACTGTTGTTCTCGAACGTGCAGGTTCACCTGAGCTTTGTGACAGCCACTGAAGACAAGAGAGTTGTGAGTGATCATAAATATCATTTAACTTGTTTATCATAAGTACATACCGTGGAAACTTCAAATGTTTGGAACAATTTTTGCACGTGGCACACTTTCACACGTTCACTGGTTATCTTTTTGTGACTGCGCAGTGTGCTATCACATGGTGACAAGCAAGCTTAATTGACTTTTACTTTCAACAGTCACTGGCAACAGGTTGTAACCACCTGAGACCCCACCCATTCATTTATGTCCATTGTAGTGGACGTGTTGTTTTTGCATCTTTCTTTTCACTGATGTAAGGAAACATATTTGTTCCTGTTGTACACTAAAGAGGACATGCTGTGAAATTAAAAATAAAAATAAATTTCAAAAAATCTACATTGTAAGATGTCTCATTTCCTCCAAAAACAAATAACCTACAATTGAAGGACTCTTTTTTCCTTGGGTCTCAGGAGGATATAGCTTATAATGTGTGGTGATTTTGATGCATAAAAGCCCCTAAGTGTATCATTTTCCTTTCCTAGATAATTTATTATTGCATCATTAGCCTGTTTTCTTTAATTCTTCTACTTTGAATTTGACCCATTGCCACAGGTGTATAAAATCAAGCACCTCGCCATGCAATCAGGTTTACAAATATTTGTGAAAGAATGTGTCATTCTGAAGAGCTCAGTGAAATCAAGCAAGGTGCTGTCATACTGTAGGAGGCCACCTTTGCAAATTTCATCCGCGGTCAGCTGTATGTGGTATTATTGCAAAGTGGAAGCGTTTAGGAAACAGAAACTCAGGCACAAAGTGGCAGATCAGGTAAAGTAACAGAGCGGGTCACCGAGTGCGGAGGCACTCAGTGTGTAAAAGCCGCCAGCGCTCTGTTGACTTAGTAACTGCAGAGTTCCAGACTTCCTCTGGCATTAACCCCAGCAAGAAACCCGTGTGCCAGGAGCTTCATGGAATAGGCTTCCAGGGCCGAGCAGCTGCATGCAAGCCTCACATCACCAAGCGCAGTGCCCAGTGCTGGATGCAGTGGTATGAAGCAGACTGCCACTGGACTCTGGAGCGGTGGAAACATGTTCTGAGGAGTGAAGAATCACGCTTCTCTGTCTGGCAGTCTGATGTACGAGTCTGGGTTTGGCAGATGCCAGGAGAACGTTACCTATCTGACTGCATTGTGCAACTGTAAAGTTTGGTGGAGGGGAGATAATGGTATGGGGGTGTTTTTCAGGGGTTGGGCTGGGGCCCTTAGTTCCAGTGAAGGGAACTCTTAATTTAGATCCATGGTGGCCTGATGAATAGGGAAGCGCACTTGTGACTGGAAGGTTGCTGGTTTGAATCCCTTACCAGCTGCTGCTGCCCCAAGCACTGCTCCCCGGGTGCTGAATTAGCTGCGCGCTGCTATGTCACGATGTCACATATGGGTTAAATGCAGAGGACACCTTTCCTTGTCGTGTACTGTGTGCTGTGGTGTGTCAACAATGACAACTAACTAATCACTTTCATTTAATGCTTCAGCATACCAAGACATTTTTGACAATTGTATGCTTTCAACTTTGTAGGAACAGTTTGGGGAAGGCGGCCCTTTTCTGTTCCAGCATGACTGTGCCTCAGTGCAGCAAGGTTCATGGAGACATGGTTGGGTGAGTTTGGTGTGGAAGAACTTGACTGGCCCACACAGGTCTTCATGTCCAACATCAGTGCCTGACCTCACAAAAACTCTTCTGGATGAATGGACAAGAATTTCCACAAACACACTCCAAAATCTTGTGGACAGCCTTCCCAGAAGAGTGGCAACTATTACAGCTGCAAAGGAGGGAGCAATTTCATATTAATGCCTCTGGATTTAGAATAAGTTGTCTTAAAAGTTACTGTATTTGTAGTGGTCTGGTGTCCCAATACTTTTGTCTATATTGTGGACTTTGATAGGGTCCCAGTTCTGGTATAATGTTCAATTAATATCTCTGGGTATTCAATGAATAGCCATTTTGAAGTGTGTGTGTGTCTGTGTGTGTGTTTGCATAGATCACATTTGAGGACCAAATTGTCCCCAAAGTGTGGTAAAACCTGAAATTTCCCTACTTTTGGGGACATCTTTTGAGGTCCCCATTTGGATAACCTCAGTTTTATAAAAATCTGTCAATGCAATCAAAAAGTAAAAATTCCAAAAGTGTTGTATTTGGGTTGGTTACTTATGGTTAAGGTTAGGGATGGGTAGAGGTTAAGGTTGTCATAGTTAGCATTAGCATTTTTCCCATTGAAATGAATGAGTGGTCCCCATAAGGATATGTTTACCCTACATGTGCGTGTGTGTGTGTGTTTAGAGGGGAATGTGGGTGGGTTGGGGACTGAATTGGTCCAAAACCAATGTTGAAACCAAACCTACACCCTTGGTGGAATACACTTATTAAAATACATATCAGCATAAAGCGAAAAGACCCAGATACATTCAGAATAATGATGGTTAATGGCAGATTTGACATAAATATAAAGGAAGAATTGCACAGAACCTACAGAATCAGCGGAGGTCCCATAGCATAAATGAAAGATGAGCATATGCATCATTGGTGTGTTTCTAGGTGGAACAAACAACAACAATGGAACAAATATCAACACAGTTTGCTAATACCTGTTATTAAGTAACTTGCATAATGTGCTCAAGCAAGTTGTGTGGGTGAGTGAGTGGACTAAATGTTCAGATGCGTGTTGGCAAGAAGCCGTGGTGAAATGCGTTTTCCTTTGAACTGATTTTACAAGGTTAGTTACTCTTGATGAGTAAGTCCTGCGTTTAAATGAAACGCGTTTCTCTTTCAGCAGAAGTCTTACAGCATTCCTTGCTCCCACAGTCCCTTTAACTGAAAGGTCAAAGCACTGAAAATGTGAAGGACGGCTGGCCCAGCATCTGCTGCTCTCATGGCGCAATAAGTAAGAGAAGCCTGATAAGAGATCTGCCTGCATGTTCAGCTACGTGCTACGTGACCGTGTTTTTAATTGGACAGTCTTTTTTGTCCTTTTTACTTTTTTACATTTACGGTAGATGCACGCATCGCACAAACTGCAGCACATAACCCCCAATTTCAGTGCAGAAAGAAAATCACCGTATAGATTTCATTTCAAATACTTAATAAAGCCATTGTAATGTCCCTTAGGCTGGTCTAATTTACATTACAATGTAAATTACTCACGAGTTATATATATTACGACCAGGTTGTTTTTTCAAAAAGGCTGATGACTATGTTTATTTATTAGTATTTTATATATTCCAAAATATTTTAACGCCCGTGATCTACTTCCATATCAGCAAAACGTCCCTTGTTAAAACCTTCCCTAAACCATCTCAGAGAATGAAATAGTTACTGACCGGCTCCACGCAGTCTTCAGTGGCGTGTAAAGGTGAGAGAGGTACGGTAAGGGTATTACTGTGGTAACAGGTTTGCTTCTTCAAAGCACGTGGCATTATTAGTGTCCATGAGTAACGCTGAAGCCAGTTGATAGCGACATTGCGCAGAAGCTGCATAATCTTCAAATGTGACATTTGTGTAGCGAATGACATATAAATCTGACAAGTAGCTGAAGCGTGTGTATCAAATCCAGCTGGTCTTAGTGAGGTCCAGCATGGCGTCATGTTATTTATTATCGTCAATCATGCTTGGCAGCGCCCCCCGAAATACTTCGTACTGTAGGCTATTGGCGGAAATGTACTGCCGTTAAATAAAGCGTAGTGGTACTACTACTACTACTACTACTACTACTACTAATAATAATAATAATAATAATAAATTGTTGTTGTTGTGAAAAGCGCTATATAAAATAAATTGAATTTAATATTTTTGGGGTAAATGTACTTCATAAATAATGAAGATGACGGTGGATCTCCTTGGGAACTTTAAGAGTTTACTGTTGCATCTAAAAAAAACAATCGTTTAAATTGCTATGGAAGGATTTTTATGTTACACTCACGCGGCCGTGTTCCCCTGCGCTGACCCCCAGCGGAGCGTCCGCGGGGCTGAACGTCGCTCACACCGCCTCGCCTCACACCGTCCCCGTGTGATCGCGACTTCTGCAAAGTTGAAAAGTTTATTCAAGATTCCTCACGGTCTGAATACTCCTGTCTATTTTAGAAAGCTGTTAATGAGTCTTTAACAAATTGCAGAATGTCTTTTACAGATCTAAACCTCTACCATTTGCTTTCATTGGTTTATTTATGTAACATAATACTAAATATTCAAAAACAACATGGCACACACATCTGGTCCATTTCACATGCATATTCCGAAGATATCGTATATTTTTCCACTAGGAAAATGGACATCTACTACAGGAACACTATACCCAAAACGCTCCACTTAATGCGTTTATTAACGTGCATGTACAGCCTCTGTTGGTGGATCATTATCTAAGAGATGTTTAGAGATGTTTGGGATCCTCTCTCTCGCTTCTGCGCCCCCTGATGATGCACCCATGTGTTAATCCGTGATGCTGTAACGTGTATCGCTTCATTTTGACCCTAGTCTGCATTTGAACAGCCGCTCAAATATAGTTCATATGCCTATGGCAGGTGGCGTATATCTGCGTTTTATTTTATAAAACACGGGGAGCTTTCGACCGATTAGCACTTCAGACATAACGGCTCCGTGAATTTAATTCCTTAAGAGGAAGCTAATGCAACCTGCTTTGTGCGTAATGTAGGAACCAGACTTAGAGCGAATAAAAGGCGAAGAGAAGACGGTGATCGTGAGCGCTGTAAATGCAATGTGTAACTGGCCGGGTGACATGAAGAGATCTACTTTCTCCCGAAGCATAATCATTTTGGCTTTTGTAATCGCCAGTCTTCCGAGGTAAGAAGAACATACATGCCTTATCTCACGCTGGCTATACCTTTACGGGAGGGAAAGATTGCAGATATACGTCCTCGAAAGTGTTTTACTCTTATTCTAGGGAGTGCGGTGCTTTTCTTTGTTAAGCTGTTAAGATCGCTGGTGTCGCTTAATTACTTAGCAATATAAATCTTTGGCGATCCTTCTTAAATTCTACGACCCTTGTAAGAAATATGATAGTCTGATGTTTCCTTTTATGTCTGTTGTGGTGGGGGAAAAATATGAACCAGAGATGTGGTCACATTTATCAAAATATTATGGGCTTTAACATGATTTTCCTTCCTTCACGATAATTGGTTAGCTAGGCTTTTTGTCTATATTTTGATATATTGTATATCGATCTATCCTCCCAGCCATAATTTATATGCACTCTTAATATGAATATTATATATTTGTGTATACATGCATAAACATTAGGGAACCACCACAATAAACGTGTACACGCCGTTCTACAGTATTTTAGATCAATAATATTAAGCTACGGTTTCCTCAGACTAACATGAGTGCTGAGTTTAAATTCAAAAATCCTTGATTACCAACTGATACTGTTACACTATTTTCAAGAATGAATTACAAATATGGTGAATTATTTATTATTAACTGTGATTAAAAAAAAACCTCCCAGTTAATTCTCCAGATGTATTCTTGGTAAATGGGATGTGCAGTAGCCTATATCTAGAGATCTATTTTTATCTATACTTATTATCTATTTTTATAAAGCATGAATTTTATAATAGTATTGTGCCCCTGATATACTGTTAATAAAATGTTAAGTTCGTTCATATAAATAGCGGATTGCCCAGACAATTGTTACTTACACGACTATTTAAACAACCATATTCCTCTCAAGTTGCATGTGTCGTCACCGTGGGCGGAGCTTGGCAGGTTTGTGTGTTGTATTTAAGAGTGATGACTGTAGCCTCTCTTACCCATGTAGCCTTGCGCACGTGTGATAGCTGCACCGTTTAGCAGGCTTACACGCAGTCTGGTAGCACTTAAAATAAAACACAATAGTAAACTTTTGTCTATCATTTATAGTTCTTTAAAAATAACTGTGACTTTAACTTGGATTAGGTTTTTGGGGGTGAGGGTGGGGTGGGGGTCCTAAGAATTACAGGGCACAAACCTGGGGCACACCTTGACTGGAATGCCAGTCTGTCGCTGGGCACATACATGTAGTTTACCCACCCACACATGCAATCACACACCACAAGCAATTTAATATGAATCTCCACACATCAGTCCATACATGCCGCTCAGTTAATTCACTGGTTAATAAATATTACAGATTATATTTAATTTTATTGAAAGAAAGACAGAATAAAAACAGTTATGTGAAAATGTTACAAGAAAACTGAATTGAATCACTGATCCTAATAAACTTCATGTTTGTATTCGGTTGGCCTTAACGTGACACCATAATTTCGATAGAAAGTATAGGTCTATCACCACGGATGGTCAGACGCAACCGAGGCAAGACTTATCTGTGTCCCTGATAAAAGAAACTAGGCAGGTTATGTTTCTAAACACCACATCCATGGTTAAAATCTCATTTTGATCACACCGTCTTCAGAAATTACCACGGCCTTCACCAATTTAAAGTGGAAATGAACTGTCTGACCTCTTTGAAATTTTGTATAACTGCTTATCAAATTAATCTTATGGAATCTACAGCAGGAAAGCCATGGCTTGGAACAGGATGAACCCTGAGCTGCACACCGGGGTAATATGGGGCAAATAACTTTATTATTAACAGTTTTCCTTGGAAATTAATGGGCATATGTCCTATGTTATGGCTTTTACTACGGTTTTAGCTTTTGCTATGACGTTAGCACCAGCCGTTTGCTGTAGTTATGCTTCAGGTAAACCAATATGCTTTAATAATGACTTAATGATTTATAAATATAAATGATGACTTAAACTGTAGTTATTGTGCCTGACACAGAAGAACACAGCTGTTCAGACATTGGGGTCCCGGGGTTCATTGACGTCAGTCACGAACAGACTGCTCTTATCTTCAGAAGCCTGTGAGTGGTGAAGAATGCATTCGACAGCACCAACCCTTAGTCAGGAAAGATAACAGATGGCACACAGGTTGCATGTGAGGACTTCATAGCCATAATAATGGTCTGGAAACAATTCACACCTGTGGGAAGCACACTTTAATTACCTTGTATCTGATTAAAGGAGATTAAGGTATTTCTTTCTATTGTAAGTCCTGCTGAGATCCAGGCTGCACAAGCACTTGTGTGTCAGATTTTTGTTGCTTTGATAATATTATTAATACATAAATAATAAAGTAAAGTAAACTGGATGGATTTTTACTGCACAGGCATCATGATGCTTGTGCAGTTGGAGCCTCATCAGTTATTTGCCTGCATTTCATGTTTTATGTAGCTGTGTAAGTAAATAGATGTTTTGGAGATGATTATTAAATCATTATTTTAAATGAAAGTGAGCCGCAGCTGGCCTCAGTGCATCAGCAGTGTGTAGGAGGAAATGGCTTTGAGAGATGTTGCCACTCGCTGATGCAATGAAGAGGCAGGATATTAAAACTGAAAGCTGGGTTTTCTCTACTGGGTATATCCCACTCAGAGCTCCAAGCGCTCAAAGAAATATGGGATTTTGGTTGGCTGCAGAATTTCATGTGGCCTTTGTTACCAGATTAGGGTCATTATTAAGTCAGACCTGTATTCAAAACATATTATACACATTTATGTTTATGGGTCTGAGGGGCTGGCTGAGGATTTTGAGAAGTTTAGTCATGGAGGGAGCATGACATCACATATATTGGAACTGAGACTCTGCTTTATCTTCATCGCAAGCTGGCTGTGGTGAATTTGTCACTGTTTGTACTTAGTACTATTATGGTGTGGCATGGTGCAGGCAGGAAATGAGGAAAGGCACAAATTAAAGGGGTCATGAGGGGTCAAAAAACTAAAGGGAAGAATAAGAACCAATTAAAGAAACCATAACATAATAAAACCAGGGAACAGAGCAACACAGGGAGCAGGACTATAAAGCAAACATAACTCCTAACAAGCAGTGACATGGGCACAGTGACTGACTGAGGAACAGGAAAAAGGCAGGCACTAATATACACTCAGATAATGAAGGCTAACAAAGAGCAGGTGTGGACCAACACAAAAGTCAGCCAATCAAAAAAGGAGCAGAGCAACAAGACACAGGTGGAATAATTTAGGATTAACAAGAGCAGGAGCAAAGGAACATTAACAAACACAGACGACTAACAACACTAGGAAAGACTAGGGGGGTATTCCATGAAGCAGGGAAAGTCTGACTTATTTGGACAAGTCAGTCTTATTTAAGTGAGAGTTCCGTTCCATCAACGTGTCTTAAATGAATCCCCGCTGAATTACCATGGTAATTTAGGCCTGCGAACAAGCATGGTCCGGACCAGGCTAACTGTCTCGCTTAGTGTAGCGTTGTCTAAAAGAACGTCCGACGTGTGGGAACAGATTCCCAAAAAGATCGTTCCGTCGGACGAAATTCCTCGATTTTACTATTCATGTCTCATCTGACGTTATATTTTACATTATCTGATTGAATTTTTTTGTTAATCTGTAAGGTGTACCAAAATGACATGATTCTGTTTGAGTTAACTGGAGAATGAGTCTTGTATATACGTATATAAAAAATGGAACCCTGTAGTCAGTGCTGTGAATAAAAGCAAGACGAGAAAGCTAAAGTAAAGCTAAGTAAAGCTCTGCATGATACTTCCATAATATGGAGAACAGAGCTGAGATTGCTAAATAATCAATATAACAAAGCCTATAAATTCACTTCTTAGCATTCCAATTAGTTCCAAAATAATTACAGTAAAATCCCGTTATAGTGGATTTGCTTATAACGGAATATCGTCCATAACGGTCGAGGTCCGCTGGTCCCGGCCGTGCGCCTTTAAGAACATGCAGAAAAAGCATCGGATACTGTACCACTATGCCACTGTATTAAGTACTTTTAACATTTACGCAACTTATGCATTTAGTCTGTCTGCAATTTATTGCCAAGCCAACTCCCTGGATGTGTTTATCATCAAAGTTTATGGCCACAGTATTGCCTTTTTTTAACGATTACAACTTTGTATTTTTCATACAGCTCCATTCTGCATATAACGGAATTTCGCTTATAATGGACAAACAATTCTCTCCCCGGGGCCGCTTTTAGCTGTAGTTTTGTTCGGCTATAACGGACATGCAGTTCCGCCTACAAGGCGTGTGGCGTGCCGATGATATCCAGCGCAGATACGTGCGTAGTCGGGATTATTAATAGTCACGCATCTCAGGTAAAGTTGGATTACTACATGTACAATATAATAACCTATACCACAAATGTGTCTGCTGGGGTGTGGCATGAGTAAATGGTGTCCTGTAGTTGTGTTCTGGGCATACAGCAACTCTGGATGTAACTGACTGTTTTGCCAGGTCCCTTGAAGTCCGTTATAACGGTATTTTACTGTAAAATAAAAGCGTACGCATATTACAAAGGTGAAACATGAAATGTAATGACTGTAATTGGAGAAAAAAAAATCCGTTAAAATAATATGAACAGGAAGATATTTTTATATTTTTAGTCTCTGTCTACTTTGAAAGTTTACTACTAAAATAGCAAAGATAACATACGGTTATTTGTGCAGAACATTTCACACGGATGTGATTTAAAGTATTTTACGGAGATCAAATAGTATTACACAGTAATAATGGCAGGTGAAATCGACCCGGAAGGTTCCCCGTTGACTATGGGGATCGAACCAGCAAATCTCGCATTACAAGGCAACAGCATAAACCACTATGCCACTGTATTAAGTATTAAGTTTTAACATTTATGTAACTTATGCATTTAGTCTGTCTGCAATTCATTGCCAAGCCAACTCCCTGGCTGTGTTTATGGCCACAGTATTGCCTTTTTTTAACGATTACAAATTTGTATTTTTCATACAGCTCCATCGGCAGCGTTTATTCTGCGGCGGAAAGAAACACCGCTCTCGTTTTACAGGCTTTCCGACTCATTTGGTCGATCTATCGTTCATCCATTTATTTGGGCTTCTTAAATATCGCGGGTGTGCGCACTAAGTGAGACTATGCAAGTCTGTCTTGAATGAACCTTGATTAATTAACACTGAACTGCGTTCGTGGAATGACGTGAGGCTAAGTTTAGAGATGGAGGTAGGTTGAGTCTGACTTTTTTGGGAAAGTCAGCCTTTTTTTATCTACTTTCATGGAATACCCCCTGGGAAGCAAAGATAAGTAATAATAAATACTAGAGGACAAAAAAAACAATAAATACAAACTGGGGAGGCTGGTCACAAATCCATGACAGGAGGGTTACAGCCTATGTGCCGTACACTCATCCCATAGAGCCATGTGGCATTTCAGGGAGCAGAGAAAACACACAAGGGTCCAGCACAAAGGCAGGGAGGGAACAGGATGGACAGCGACACCTGCTGGCCAAACAAGGAAGAAACATGAAGGGCAGGAATGGACATGTGCTGACCCTGACAAATTCTGAATTTTCTTCTATAACGTCTTGGATAATATTTTCTCTAATTATTCAGGGTTATGGGACCATGTTAACTAGTGAGTGTTTCAACTCAGTTAACAGAAATAAAAATAGAATTACCAAGAGACATATGTTAGACAGAGCAGGAAAAGCAGCAGAACCTTCCTGAGAGATCTATCCCAAATGTTTAAACATTGTGAAGAGAAAAGAGCCTTGCATTGCAGCATCAAAGTTAATGATGGTTTTATATGTTAAAAAACAATTTAAACAAAATGGGGAATTGAAAAAGGTTTAAATTTAACTGAGTGTATAAGCCATTAATGGGGAACTGAATCATTCTAATGCATTGTTTCAGTTTGTCTCACAAATCCCAGACCCCTTTACACTCCAGTAAGGTTCCAGGAAAGACTTGGAGTTGGAAGTGGAGGTTCACCTATAGGGAAGCTTTGCTTGTCGGCAGTCGTGCCGACAAGAGGCCGAGTTGGCTTCAGCGAAGATGTGTAAATAAGGCATCATTCAGCAGGAGAGATGCAGGGCCGGGCGTCACCCATCACGAGGTGGACGGGGGAGACGCAGGGCCGGGCGTCGCCCATCGCGAGGTGGACGGGGGAGACGCAGGGCCGGGCGTCGCCCATCGCGAGGTGGACGGGGGAGATGCAGGGCCGGGCGTCGCCCATCGCGAAGTGGACGTAGACTCTCCAACCCTGAGATTTCATTCATTTTTCTGTTTTTTTTCTCCTCAGCTCCTTTGAATCTGACAAAGATGATGACGAAGATCTCGTTTCAAACAAAACATGGGTTCTGACCCCTAAGGTGTACGAGAGCGACGTCACGCACATCTTAAACGGCCTGCTGCAGGGTTACGACAACAAACTGCGACCAGACATCGGAGGTGCGTTCTTAGCTTCTACACATACCTGCATGCTCCTCAGAACGCTCCTTTTCTCTCATAGCCTCCTTTATTGCACTTGTTTTACTGAATATTGATAAACGAATGGCTTGAATAAACTTTGTTATAAAATGTCTTTAGACTCTGACAGTGAAAAACCGCTTACTGAAGTTTAGTTTCACCTGTTTATTGTGGTTTAACTTGTTTATCGTCCCCCATTGAGGGCATTAACTCAGTCAGCTCCCTGTCGTGTGGAGCAGTATTGCCGTGGAGAAAGGAGAACGGAACACTCTGTAAATAAAGATCACTGAGTCTCACTCGCACAAAGTGCTCGTTGTGAGAAGAGCGAGTTAAGCTGTATTAAGGTCACTGTCTGCAAAGCAGAAAAGGAGTTTCCTGAAGTTTGTAAAATTTTGTTTTGATGGAGAAAACAAACCCTTTTTATTAGATTTCCCTTTCCGCTGGATACAGATGTGAAGTTTGTTGAAAGTGCAGCAACTTCTGTGATGAGGACGATAAACAATGGGATGTCTGATGTCTGCCTGTGTCTGTGCCCGTGTCTGTGATTGTGTCTCTGCCTGTGATAGTGCCTGTGCCAGTGATTGTGTCTGTGCCTGTTTCTGTGATTGTGTCTGTGATTGTGTCTGTGCCTGTGATTGTGTCTGTGCCTGTGATTGTGTCTGTGCCTGTGATTGTGTCTGTGTCAGTGATTGTGCCTGTGATTGTGTCTGTGCAGAATAAGGCCATGTGCTGAGTCAGACAGGCATAGAGATGAAAAGGCAATGGAATGAAATTACAACAGCAACAGTTATTCAAAGTATAAAATGCAGTACAATGTGCATCATATTGAGGTATTTTATTAACATTTACAAACCTCCATGCAAACTGTACAGTCAGTGTTTTGAGCATAGATTCTTAACATTAAGAGTCTCATTTGTTTTATTATGCAACAAACTGTAACTTATCCAGAAACTGGTACATAACCCCAACCAACTACTTCGTGCTGTTAAGGATGTTTCACTAAGAAAACTGGAATGCTTTGCATCCCTGTACCGTTGTGTATACAGGGAATGCTTGAATGGCTTTTCCCACTAGTGTTCCCCTCCGACTGCCTCTCAGGGGGACCGATGCCAGAACACACCAGGCCCAGATTCTAGTTATCTATGGAATTGCTTAGTTGGCCCTCCTGTCATCCTGTGGGAAAGGGCGCGGCAGTTAGCATTAGCATAGCTGTGTCGGCTATATGGCAGCCTCGTGCAGTGCTGAGATCCCTGTGTGTCTTGCCCCCGGTAATCTTTCTTCGCTTGCTGTAAATGTTATGGCGTGACCTCAGTATTGTGTGACCAGCCACAGACTTCATTGCTTTTCTCTTGTTTTTCTTTCTAGTCAAACCGACTGTGATCCATACCGACATGTTTGTAAACAGCATTGGTCCAGTGAATGCTATCAATATGGTGAGTGCTGCACTTACGGTGTTGGGGCGCCGCTCGACAGGCTCTTCGCTGTGCGTATGGGGTTTTTCTGCGGCGATAATATTTTAATCTCTTTTAAGTTCCGTTCCAGCTGCTCCCATTTAAGTCTGTTTCATTTTAATACTGTATCGAATGTGTTCCAATAAATAATCGGTTTTGGGAATCTCACAGTCCCGTCCTGGGAGCAGGTAGCATACAGGTTACCTCTATGAGTGAGGCAGTGCATCATGGGAAATGGCTGAATGTTAATCTCCATGAATGGAGAAAGTATGGGTATCTTTGAAGGGGCCTGTGGCAGCCTAGCTGATCTGTGCCTCTAGAAAAAGGGGGGTAAATTGGCGGCAGTTTGGCAAAGTGTTTCTCCAGCTTCCACACTAGTGCCATCGTCTAAGATCGATGGCATTTCCAATGTTTCTGCTTCCGGGTTTCAAGGGTCCTGGGAGTCACATGGGTTCCCGTGTGCTAAGTGACCCTGTGAACCTGTTTTTACACGGACTGGGTAGGGACAGTGAAAGCAGGCACTCTTGTTTACCTGTGTCGGATACATACAGATATGCTGCTCATAACCGAGAACGGGTTAATCTAGATAAATGAGCTCTGTTCTTCTCACAGCATCTACCGTTACTCATTTACTTTCATTTGCTCTCCCTGCTGACGAACTTGGGGAGTTGGAGGAAGTCAAGTTATTAAAAATCAGCCATGTGAATAGAGCAACAATAACGATGTCAGCATCTGCTGTTTTTTCATTTAGCTTTTTCAGGTCCTAATAAATGTTTAAACAGGAGCAAGAGGACCCTCACTAGGACGTGTAATGGTGGTCCAGTTAGTCACCCTCTCTTACATTAATCTGCGCTGCCATTTCACTCCACACTCTGTCTAATTAGCTAGACTTCTTAAGCTGATATGCCGTTATGAGACACTTTTCTTTTTCGTCCATGCATCCCGGCAGTGCTCCAAGTCTGAACTGATTTGTACTCTGTTTTATCCTCTTTTTCATATTATTATTATTATCTTTCCTGTCTTCTGTCTGTCCAGTGTTCTTTGCATGATGAACCCTTACATAATTGCAAAACACATGCTGTATTGGTGATTCCACTGCCACTGCATTCAGGCTTCAGGTTCTTTGCTTGTGGCCCCCACAGGAGTACACCATAGACAGCTTTGCTTGTGGCCCCCACAGGAGTACACCATAGACAGCTTTGCTTGTGGCCCCCACAGGAGTACACCATAGACAGCTTTGCTTGTGGCCCCCACAGGAGTACACCATAGACA